CAGTCACAACTTCTCAAGCAAAAGACAGTGAAAAGAGTTAACTTTATGCACTACACGTATCTGCATTCTGCACCATCCCTGTGCTTTTCATTCTTTCAAAACTAGGTTGAAACCATCACACTTGGCTCACCATTCCACCATATACCTTTTAAAGTTAAGTTTTTCTGTTGCCCCCCCCACCCCTGCACTGAACAACTCGATAAGAATTAATTTCTCTTATTAGCTTGAATTGTGCATAATTGATGGTGAGAGAAATGAGGTTTGAGCATGCGGAGAGCACTGTCATCTATAATGAATGAGGACCTCAGAGCCCAAATGGGTGTGTGATGTTGCCTGCGAGCAATTCCTGCGGCGGACACACACACACGGGAGAGCATTTCAGGTGGAGGTGAGAAGCCATATACAAAGATACCTTTGTGAAGTTCTTAACTAGAGCCCGACCGATAAAGGATTTTGAAGGCCGATACCGATACAAATATTTTTGGGTTTTAAAATCCGATATTCCGATATATCGGCCGATATTTTATTTATTTATTTGAAACTGGACATGATAAGTCACAAATTTTGTCATGCTTATTTGAGTTAAGAGAACTGATGAGGATGTTCTTTTAATTGTTATTCAAGCAATGTATGTCTCGTGACCAACTCAACGAGTGTTGCCAACAGGAACGGTGTAGAGTGCCCTCTGGTGGACAAACTATACAACTCCAACACTCATGACATGGTTGAAGCGTGTTTCGTCCGTTTTTATTTTATTTTTGAAATATTCATTTATCTGCCATTATAACTGCCGATACCGATAGTTTGGAAAATGCCTAATATCGGCCGATAATATCGGTCTGCCGATATATCGGTCTGGCTCTATTCTTAACGCACATAGAGTCAGTTTGTTTTGAACTATAGCTAAAGTGCCATGAACAAATATGTGGTGGGGAACTTAAGGTACGGTTTGGTCAAAACTTTTTAATTAGCATGGCCTAGCCTTGCTTCTGCATTAGGGTTCTTAATAGAGCCAGACCGATATATCGGCAGACCTATATTAGGCATTTTCCAAACTATCGGTATCGGCAGTTATAATGGCCGATAAATGTATATTTAAAAAATAAAATAAAAACGGACGAAACACGCTTGAACCATGTCATGAGAGTTGGAGTTGTATAGTTTGTCCACCAGAGGGCACTCTACACCGTTCCTGTTGGCAACACTCGTTGAGTTGGTCACGATACATACATTGCTTGAATAACAATTAAAAGAACACCCCCATCAGTTCTCTTAACTCAAATAAGCATGACAAAATTTGTGACTATCATGTCCAGTTTCAAATAAATAAATAAAATATCGTCCGATATATCGGAATATCGGATTTTAAAACTAACAAATATTTGTATCGGTATCGGCCATCAAAATCCTTTATCGGTCAGGCTCTCACCGTAATGTTTTCTCATACCAGACCAGAAGCGGTTTCACTCCGATATACAGTACGTTATAATAGGGGAGAAAAGACTACCACAACTTCTGTTTCTGGCCTACTTTCATACCAGTAATATAGGCCTACCCAATCAATTTTCATTCATTAACTAACAATCAATGACATTTTTTACATATGAAAAAAAGTAAAACGCACTCAAAGACGCAAATCTCACTGTGCCCTATCTATATTCAGAGTTTTTAGCTTATAAAAGTAGGACAAAAATCAAGAAAAATCTCACGCAACCATTTTTTACACCATAACCTTGTTGAGATCAATCCATTTCATTTTCTAAGGCAATTCTGCTCCTCAAAAGGTCAGAGTGTCTGGCGGAGGCGAGACAGAGTGCCCAGAGTCGAGTCTGACAAGTGAGACCCCACAGGGTCCAGCTGTGACTATTTGTTTCCCTCATGTCAGCGATCAATGGATGAAATCCAGCTATTCAGGGGTGAATTATCACTGTTTTCATGCTGAGCCGCTGCATTAAGCAGGAGAGATCCCCAGGAACACCAATGCACTTGGAGAAGAACGCGGAGGCATTAATGTGCATAACGGTTTAATCCTGCCATTAAAACATATCCTGACTCTGAGGAGCCACCGTATTATCAACAGGTTTGCACTGTCTGCCTTTGTCACACGGTTGAATGCACTCAACTTTACAGATCACATGATGGTTTAATGTTTTACATCAACTCAAACCCTTTGCAGCAATCTCTAAACCTGAACCTATAGCTGTTGATGTACAGTGGGGCGTTTTGCATGTTTTCCCACTTACAAAGCATGTAGAAGTCTGTAATTTTTATAGTTTCTGACAGTATTAGGAGAGGAAAAGTGTCATCTAGTATGCAAACAAGTAGAACAAAATCTCAAAATGTAGGATGGCATTACAAAGTGAAACAATCTAAATGTCGAGGACACAGTAGGGACACAGGCACCATTTTCCTATGCAAACTGGATAAACTAGGTGGAATTCCAGGACGAAAAAAAAACAAGGAGACAAGGTCAATAAAACTGAAAGGCGATTTTAACCATGCTGTCAGTTTTCATCTGCATCTTTACTTTGGACTTGCCTGATTCAAATGGGAAAAAACTGGGTCTCAATCAATAGCAAATTTAATTTAATCATGCCAATGCAAAGTCTACATTCGACTCAAACTGAGGGAATATTAGACTCTGGCCTGACATACTCTAAAAGCATTCATCCGGAAAGAAACAAGAATTGACAGACTTGTTTCTTCTTAGTTAATACTTTAAAAAAGTTCATCCTTAACCAAGATGTTGAGCAGAGCTCAACTCAACTTGATTGAGTTTTCTATCCCACCAAGCACAAATAAAACATTTTTTTTAAACTAATTATAAAAACACCAGCATCACTTTAGGATATGATCTACAACAATGAGTATTTTTCAAAGGCAAGCAAAATTTGCTAATTTAACAGAGTTTAAAAAAAAATCAAATCAACTTTGCTTCTAACAGAAGTTTAATAAGCAAAAAATGATGATGTAGGGAAAACATGCTTGAGATGGCAATCTGCATCTAAAATAAAATATCAACCACTGTATTGGTTATAGGCTATATTAGAAATATTTCAAATTATTACTAGTAATTCAGCATCATAACTTAAAGGGACAGTGATAGTGATTGAAAATTGAAGATTCAACCCCCTCTCTTGAATAGTGTATAACTGCATACGTTTCTGTGCCAACTGTAAATTTATAGTCATAAGCAGCTCAGCACAATATAGGTTTTATCTTACTATTGTCACTATTGATTGTAACAGTGTCCACCTCCTTTTCAAGCAGGGCTGTTTTTTTTATTATTATTATTAATTTTTTCCATAGGGATTTTAAAAATAGTCTTTGTTAAGGTGTTGTAAGCCATGAACCAAGCCAATCAGCTATGAGGTGAATCACAATCCGTGCATAAAATCAATATATTTTAAGTTAATGGCAAACTATACAAACATTTCAGTATTTTGAGGGCATATGGGAGCATACTGTTCCCCTATAGGGAGATCAACTTGATTACGCAGTGCTTCATGGGAGTGGGTGGAGGTATTTGGGAGCATGTTGCTTTTTTTAACTCTCTAATTGGTGTAATTTTCTGTACAGCCTCATGGGTAATGTAGTTTTTCATCAGGAATTCTACTGTTTAACATACAGTAATAATTAAAAAAAAAAAAAAAGATGAAATAATGTGGGCTGACCGCTTCAGTAAAAGCAAATACCATAGATTAACAACCTCATAGCTCACAGCAGGTCAGTCATTAAAGTTATCGTTCATTATCCATTTCCTTAAAGAGAAAATGAATGCCGTTTTTACTTCCGGGACCAAACTGTTGCACTCTATTGGCAACATATAAGCAATGTGATACTGATGAGTGATGACTCACATTGCACTTTCACTTCATAATTTAAACAAACAAAAAAACAAAAATGCCCTCATCATGTAAAAACATGTAGCTCAATTATGACCAGTCTGAAATTCAGGAAATAGAATCAATGTGAAAAAGGAAAAGGAAATGCTGACAGTAAAATATTTAAATGATGACTGACTAGATAAAAACACGGTAATATACCAGTATAACCGGTAATATACCAATATAATAAATATAATGAGTGAAATGGGGAATTTTCAGTGACTGAAAAACTGACGATACTGAAGTGAATACAGACCATTGTGAAAAAAGCAGGAAATACTGGCTTGAATAGTGACTGAAATACAGGCAAATCTAACTAAAAAGCAGAAAACACTGCTAACAGGCACGCTTGACTGAACCAGTAAGTTACCGAATTAAATATTTAAAAAAAACAGACTAGGCTACTGACTGGAATACAAAAACAAAAAGAAATTCAATACAGACCGCAAACTTGCTTAACTGGATAGAAAAAAAGGGGAACACATGGCTAAAATACTGACAGAGATATTTTAAACAAATCAGGAAATACATTGGCTACTGAGATACAGGACCACTCACTAAAAGCTTCAGTATCTGTAGGCTATCTGACATAGCCTACTGGAAGTGCTGACAGAAATACATAGGCTATAACAGATTAGCCTATACTGACAAATATTTGGAAACAAGTAATGTTGACTACAGACAACAGTTACGGCGAGCTGAAATACGGAGCAAAACAAAGGACTAAAATGAAAATACTGGCTGTCAGTTTTCAACAAACTACAGTTCGGCGAGTGACCGACATAACGAAGGAGCACGCGCTCGCTCTCCTGTGAGTGACAGAACTCACGTGTCTATTAAACAGACCTGTCAGAAGTCAGGCCATACTGGCTTCACGCACGTCACCTTATCTACCATACTGCAACACTGTATTTTGATCAATGCTCTTTGGGAAATGTCTACTGAAACTGACGCGTTGTCAAACAGTCTCCAGCCGGCTATAACATTTTATTAATAAGTTACCACTTGGTTTCTCTACACTGGGAAAGTTATTTTAGTTTCACAACATGATTTCCTTCGAGAGTCTGAGGAAAGCGCAGGGCAGGAGTATATAATAATAAAAACATAAAATACCTCTTTTATCTTGGCTCTTTTCTCTTTAACCTCAGGATCCGCGGGTTCGTGCCCTGTTGCACCGGGCGGTCGCACGTACTGAACGAACGGCAAACTGTCACCGTCCGCTCCATTCACCTGCGCAACTATCTCCTTGTCGCGCATGATGTCTTGCTTGATCTCGTCCGGCCGTTTCTGTAGGGTGTCCTTAGCCTCGATCAGCGCCTTTTCGTGGTCTTTTCGAATCTTGGCCAGGATCTTCTCATCCTTGCCCGTCCCGGTGCTCGTGTCACTGACCGTACCTGTGCGCGTCTCTGCCTCCACCGAGGACGAGCGGAAGAAAACTCCGCTGAGAAGCTTAGAGGAATCCGGCAAGAAGAAGATAGCTCCGAAACACAGGGTGATGAAGGCGCTGAACACTAAAAGCAAGATGAATTTCTCCGTGAGCCTGAAGGAGGTCGGGCTGGCGGACTTCCTATTCGGAGTGGCCGTGAAAGGCAGGAGAGAAGCTACAGGCATTTTCTTCAGCGTTTAAAAACACGACTAAATAGCCTAAATTCTGCCACAAAGTAACTCCCCGAATACCCTTGACCTACACTGGTTACGATACCTGTTACATTGAACTCAAGGTGTTCGAAAAGGGCACGGTATATCCTCTGAAATAAGTTGATCCCACTGAGCGAACAGAGGAGTCCCACCGCCTCAACTGATCACGCCTGAAACACATCTGTGTAAAGTCTCGTTGGCGGAACGGAAGGGATGGCAGAGATCCATGAGTGACAGCGCGCCTCGGCCAATCGCGTTGAGTCGCTGTTGCACAAGTTCGCTGTGGGCGTGTCTTCCGGATTTACAGTACAGACTGGCTTGATGTCTTGTTCAAACTTAATTGGCTATGGACTGGGATTATTCATGTGTGTGACATGATCATAACGGCGTAAAAAAGGCTTATGGACATTTAAGGATTGGCCAAGTTAGGTTGTTATGTTTAATTCAAACTCTGCTTATTATAAATTGCCCCTGCGCAATTGATTAGCATTTTAATAGAAACCCACAGTAACCTTTATCAGGCTTTTAAAAACTGGGCTAAAAATTATTAATACCAAACATGAACTGCAAATAGAGGACACACACAGTTTTTAAATTGGACAAAGTACTATAGCCATACTGTGGATCAAAATAAAAATACAGTTCTAACTGCTTTCTTGTCTTCTTGAGAGACGTGCACGAGATTTATTTCAAAATTCAAACATTAAGTATTCATCGACATATATAAAATGTACAAAAAACTGAATTTTGTAGGAATGTGGCAATGAGCATGCAGAATAGCCTTACAGCTTTACATATGTACATAAAGCAAGAGCAGACTTTCCTATTGCTGAGTATTTCCTGGAACTTGATTACAAAATAAACACAACGTCAGACAGTAATCGTTCAGCCTTGACTTTGTTTTCCAAAGCACTGGCAGCAGCATTGTCCTTTAACAACACTGAGAACAGGAGACAGCTGCTTCATGCATGAAGATTTTGGGGCTAACGCTTAGAAACTGCCTTTAGATTTTTCACTTTCGTAACAGTATAGGTTGCTTCTCAAATCTGGAAAGCTGAAGCATACATCAATTCTTATGTGTAGCCTATATAGTATATATATATGTATATTTATTGTGAGGTTTGGTGGCAAGCTCATTCTTTTAAGTCTGTGAGTTCATCTGCCAGTGAAAGCAGCAGTGGTGGAATAGCTGTCTTTGTACTCAGTGACTGTGCTATAGTGACTTTGCCAAAGCTCAAGTGCATCAACTCTGACAGTTTAAAACAGTTTATCCATGTTATTTTTATTTTGCATTCTGACTGATAGTAGAATCGTTTTTACTCCAAGTAACTGACATTTTTTAGCAGCTCCATTGTTTTTTGTCTTTTGTTAGTGCATACACACATGTGTGTGTGTGTGTGTAAAAAGACAGAATGTAAGGTTTAGAGGACAGAATGTTCACATTGTGCATTAATACAATACATTAACACAGTACATTAATAAGTCTATGGAGAATCCTCATAAAACAAAACCTAAGGTGAATGCAGGTAAAGTGGGCCACTTTATTGTGTTTGAAAAATACATATATACATAAAATACATATATATTTCACTTTATATTGTTATAAAAACATGCATTTATCTTTTATGCCTATTCCTTTTCAAGTACTGTAAATCTATCTTGTTTTAAAGAGTATTAGTTACTTTAACTGAAATTAGACAACAATATGACATTTTGCAGTATTCTTGGTTGAATTGGGTTTCATTTTGTCCATGCTCAACGAATGATAAGGAAGAGCAATACAGTGAGGGGAATGTTTAGTGAGAAAACAGCAGGTCTCCTCTAGGACATATTACTGTAAAGGCACATGGGACGTGCAGTCACATTACCTGCCGCAGGAGTTCTCGCACACACATTTCAGGGGATTTTAATCTTGTCACTTCCTCATAACAGCTTGCTGTTACTCCCAGAAACATGGGGAAGTGCATGGAGGTGGTTGAAAAGGCTTCGCCTTATGGGAGGCATCATGGTGTTGAAGAAAAACTGGAAATTTGGTGACACTGAAACTCAACCAGTTCTTCCACTACACCCGCTGTAATCCCTTTCTTGAATGAGCAAGAGGTTTTTGTTCACTCAGCAGGCCTTTCAGGTCCTTTGGGAGTGACAACAATCCAGGAACAATCGAATATCTTAAATATCTTAAATACAGTGTACAAGATGAACCTGCACAAAAAAATATACTGTTTATTGTGCAATTACCTAGTGCACCCAAAAAATCGTACTCTCTTACTCACGCTTTAGTTATTCCAAAGCTGAATGAGTTTCTTTCTTGTGTTGAACACAAAAGAAGATATGTTGGTAATCAAAGAGTTGATGGCAGCCATTGACTTATATGATCAATGAGTTATGAAAACATATGTTTTAATTAGGGCTGTGCAAAAATTAATTGCGATTAATCGCATCCAAAATAAAAGTCTGTGTTTACATAATATATTTGTGTGTGCTGTATATAATTATTTTGTATATATGAATACCTATGCATGCATGTATATATTTAAGAATTATTTGTGCTTAAATTCTGTATATATATATAAATGCATAATCTATATTATATAAATATAAATATTTTATATATGAATAACACATTTTCTTAAATATATACATGCATGTTTGTGTACTTATATATACAAAATAATTATATACAGCACACACAAATATATTATGTAAACACAGACTTTTATTTTGGATACGATTAATCGCAATTAATTTTTGCACAGCCCTAGTTTTAATGGGTAACACTTTACTTGAAGGGGTGTGCTTAAGACTAACATGACACCTTGATCATGACATGACATATGTCTTGAATATAAAGGAAGTTTTATGCATGTTTGTGACAACTGTCATTAAGTGTCATTCGCTCAGTTATGACATTTTAAATGCAAATATGACATTGTTTGAGATGTCTTTGTTATGACACCTTGACATAAACTATCCCTTTCCCTAAAATCCTTCTGAGCAATGTGAACAATCTTTATAATGACTCAAAAAAAGGAAAATTGTAATAATAAAAAATGAAAATAAAACTGCTCAGCTTGAACGTGAGGTAAGGGGCTTCTTTTAGGGGGAACATGTGCATTGCAAGCAGCTAAACACCTGCCGCTGCACCCATCACCTGCTATTCACAGCTTCCCGATCCCACTTCAGCTGATTTACCATCTTCACATTCACAGTTTGCACTTGTCATCAGCTATGAGGCTTACTAAATGTTGTGTTTTTTAGATGGTTTGAAAGAACCTTAATCGCACAGCTTAAAATCATTCGGGCTGATTAATGGTGCACAACAAGCCAAGAAAATGAAAATTAGTCCATGTTTGTTTCGCCTTTGAGGGAGTTTCTATGGAAGCCATATGGTATCTATGCACCTGCTCGAAATCGGCAGGCATGCAAATAACCACAGCCTGTGGCCTCTAAACAGGAACAAAATAGCCTATCAGGTAATGCCATGAAACTTATAACTGAGAACGAGAAGGTGTGACAGAATAATGACTAACAGACTGAATTAAATTTGAATTATGCAGTCAAATGTGGAAATGCAGCAGTATTTGATTATTTCAATGCTGTGATATTTGTTTTTGGCCAAATAGAGAGAAACGATGTGCATCATAGAATAAATTACAGTGAGAGTAAGAGAAATGTAACTGAATCAGCACTGAGGCAAAAAAGACATTTCAAATTCTTATGTGACAGTATTTTGGCCTTTCATTTCTCTTTAATGTCACATGCCTGCTTTACTCTGCTACAGCCATCGGCCAAACAATGAGAAATGGGTCTCTCTCTCTCTGATCAGCTTTAGATGTGTGACACACAGTCTTGCTCCTTGTTGGCTTGACCATGCAAGAGATTTGAAAGCTTTACTGCCAAATATGAATATATACATACGAATATTGTTTTGTGTGCTACATATATATTTAGAAATGTGTTTTTTTTCCACAATTATTTCCACATTTACATAAACACACCAAACCCTGTTGCCATAATAGGGTGGACAACAGTTCAAAAGTGGGATCATTACAATTTTTTTGTTTTTGTTGTTGTTGTTGATGACAGAAATTTATACTTTCATTCCGCAAAGATTCATTAAATTGATCAAAGTGACAAACTCCTGTTCTTTCTATTTCAGATAAAGCTATATTGAATTTGTATTCATCGAATTCTAAAAAAACAAAATATGTCATGCACTGTAAAAAAATATTGTTGGTTTAACTTAAAAAAGTAAGTAACCTGGTTGCCTTAAAATTTTAAGTCCATTGAACTGGAAAAAGTGAGTTGATACAATGAAGCAGAATGATTTAATCATCAGAAACTCAAAATTATATGTTATCTGAACTACATAAATTATTAAAGTTGATTTGACAAAAGAAAAAAATGTTGTGATTACTACACTGTAATAAAATATTGTTGGTTTAACTTAAAAAAGTAACCTGGGTTGCCTTAAAATTTTAAGTTGATTGAACTGGAAAAAGTGAGTTAATACAATGAAGGAGATTAATTTAATAATCAGAAACTCAAAATAATAAGTTATCTCAACTAAATAAATTATTATAAAGTTGATTCGACAAAAGAAAATATGTTGTGATAACAAATCTTGAAAATATTTTTTTGCAGTGTGGTTTCTACAAAAATATTAACCTGCTTTCAACATTGACAAGTACATATTTTCTTGAGCAGCAATTCGACATATTAAAATGATTTCTAAAGGAAACTGTGACCCTGAAGACTGGAGTAATGATGCTGAAAATGTAGCTTTCAATAAAAAAAACTAACAAGAAATTGAATTATTGAAATTGTTGAATTATTGAATTGAAAAAAAAATATTTTTGAATTAACTTTTATTAATTCAATTAATTTTTATTTTTGAAAAATTATGAAAATATAAAAATAAAAATATTTAAATAAATAATAAAAAAAAATAGGCAATAGTATTTAAACAATACTAAAATAACAGTACTGTTTAGGCTCTCAATGGATGTTATTAAAAACTGTTATAAAGAAATGTAACCTTTTATACATTTTATAGACAGGATCTATAGAGTTTGAAACCCCACTGCCATACGCAACTGGATTTGCTGACTTTGCAGGGCTTATTCAATAAACATGACCAAGAATCCCTCCTGCAAGTCAGCAGAAATCCCACATACCCACTG